TTCAGTTATTCAATTCGATTTCGATTTTTAACTAATTAAATTCGATTAGACTGAAAAATTAAATTTAATTCTAATGCATACCGTAATACTAACTCTATAGACTTAATTGTGACTGTGAGGCCAAGCCCAATGTCAATATGGCCCAATTTTAGAGTGACCCAAACCCAATTCCCAAACTATATATACATATGTAGTTTATGATAATTGCACTAGGTGAAAATGAAGATTATGGTTAAGGCAATCAATTTGTTTCAGCAGAAGATCTTCGAGAAATGTTGTCTCATGTGTGCCATGAGAAAGCTTTGATTGTTAAACGACTCAAATTTATTTGTAATTTTTTAATGTTGTTGTAATATGGGGTGTTGCAAGACTATTGCTAATTTGAGTTTTAAAACTAAAGGTTTATAAATATAGTTTTAAATAATGCATTGATTGAATATCTATGTCACTTTTCTTATTCTATTTTGACTTCAAGCAGCGACTGTTGGAGATAAAATTTATCTCATAGATCAGAATGAACTAACTCAAACTGTATCATTTTTTGTTAAACTTGGTTATATCCAAAAACAAATCAAATTGAAATTGTGAAAATTGAACAAAACTAAATTTATTTTAGTTTGGTTTGGATTAACATTCTCACCAAATCAAAAATCAAAAAGTCGAACAGAAATTTGCAAACTGAACCTATTTTTGAAAAAACCAACCTTATCCATAGGTTTTTAAAATTGACAAAACAAGCGGACAAGGTCGATTGTCCCTGAGTACGTCGATTTGGCATCAACTAGTATACCGATTCTATCCATTGATTTTAACTATCGTTTTTCGAGCAATATTTAGTAGTGAAAGTTAATATGCAATGTCATCAACTTATCATAGAACCATCACATAAAATGAAGATATTACTCTCGTCAATTTATTTTTTCTTATCATGTTTTGTTTTGACTCTAAGAAGATTTAACAAAAATGGTAGTTTAACTAAATTATCTTTATTTACTATTTGATTCGATTAAATACTACTCTATTTTGCATCATATTAGTTTCTCTCCATATTTATTGAGTAAGTCATCTAATTTTAACAAGAACCACAAGTAAAATGAATGGAAGAGGATAACAAAAAGTTTCACACCAACATTTTCTTTGTGGGGCAATATTTAAAGTGTATATATAGTAGAATAATGACTCTTCTCTCTTATGTTTAATTATTATCATAGAAGTATTTTTTATCTCAACTTATATGATATTATTTTAATTAATAATAATAAAATTAATATATTCATAAAAGGATTAAAAAATGCTTTTAGATCATATAAAATTGAACAAAAATGTCTTTAATTGATAGTGTGGTCTTAAAATGTCATGATCCAGATCGTCGTGAGTGACATCCACACTATCCCTCTGGTGGGAGAACCAATTACCAACCAACTCGTACTAAGAAAGAAGCTAACAACCAAGATAACAATTTAAACAACAATAGATTAAGTCCCTGTAAACTAAAATCTGTTATATCATTAAACAACTATGTGGAAACATTCCCCAAGAATAAGTCAGGAGTTTGTAATGTCTTGGCTCGTTCTTCATCTAAAATAGTATCAAATTAAAATAATTAATGAACAATGACCTAATTAGACTCAATTATTACTTAATCCTAACCCTAGGCCAATTCCATGATCATTCTACTAAAATCAGGGTTTTTTCCATCATTAATTCGAGTCAAAAACCTCCCCCGAGAGTAACACTCTAGATTTTAAGGCTTAAGAATAAAAATACATTTTAGGGGAGTAATTAACTTACCTTTACCGAAGGAATTGTTGAAAAAACTGGGGAAAGTTACCCTAAATCGTCCTTCCTTTTCCCAAGAATGGAGTTGCAAAAAATAAGTGTTATTGGGACTTTTTATGCACAAAAACCTGACTAACCTAGCTATCGCAACCCGACCCGCTATAACAACATCGACATAGCGTCCCACCGGCTATAGCAAGAATAAATTTATCTTACTATAGAGGTGTGACACTCGCTACAACGGCTTGCACGGAGGCAGAGACTCATAAATCCTCCCCCAAAGTCCCAGTTTCACAACACACCTTTGAACCTTGATGTTCCAAACTAACTCCTTCACGTCAAGTCCGATATCGAGAGTTCTACATACCCGAATTCACTTCCAGAAGGCCCTATGAATTCCTTAATGTCTTAACTACCAGAAGATATGATCCAATTTTAGACATAATACCCAATACATTCCCGAATTTTCAAGTGACTACTCAAAGTTTTCTGATGCAAATCTTTCACCATTGATGTACCCATATGACCAGAAAGGGTCGTTACAAAAAATGTCTCTACAGTCAATAGTTTGATCCAAAATATCTCTATCGCTAATAGTTTGGTCTAGAAATATCCCAATTGTTACTTAATGGGTGAAAAAATGGCAACAACAATAACAACAACCAACAACAATAACATACTTAGGGTAATCCCACAAAAGTGGGGGTTGGAAAAAGTAAAGTTTACCAAGACCTTACCAATACCTTGGAGTACAGAGCATATTTATGATAGAACCTCAGCTCAAGAAAAATACAGACCAAAACAATGTAGAGATTTTAACTGATAAATAAGTAGGAATACTTTTTTTTCTTTAAATCTCATTTTATCAATTGAAAACAAATAACTTTATGTACTTTTTTAATTGATGATATATGTTATATATATAAGATCATAGTTACTCCATCATTAATTTTAATTTAGATAGTGATAAAAACAAGAAGTAAAAATATGCACATTTTTGAATCAAACTATTGACTTCAGGGATATTTTGAACCAAACTATTAACTGATAATATTTTTGTTCAACTTCGCATAGTGTAAAGACATTTTTTTACCCTTTTATATAATATATTTTATATTTAGTAACAATAAGAATCCATTTTATTATGATTTATAATTACATATAATTTTTATGATTTCTTTAGACCTATTTTTATTTAATTTTAAAAAGTCTTTTTTCTTAAATTTAATACCTAATAAATTATCATCACATAAATAATAATGACAGAAGGGACGGTCCATCTCTTATCTTTTTATTTATAATATTTAAGAGCGTGTATAAAGAAAAGCAGACAAATAGTATAACTTGGAGGGAGTAATATCTAACTTCGACCAACATGGGTTGTTGTGCATTGGTGGGAGTGCTTCACCCTTAACCAGAGGTTTCGGGTTCAAGCCTTGGGTATGGAGAAAATCCTGTTGGGAGCGCCACCCCCGAATGGGCCCTGCAGAGCGCGATCCGAATTTAATATGAGCTCTAACATCTCATGGACTGTGGTGCAGTCATGAGACTATTTCATCCTTAATCACATGTCTTGTTTTCGAGCCCTACTAAAAAGAAAATCATGTTGGGAGCATCATCCCTAATGAATTCTGTAATGCGTGATTCAAATTTAGTCGGGATTCTAATATGGACTCCGAATTTCAAGTGGAAAAAAAACACAAATTTTAAAATAAAAAGCCTATTTGACTGTTAAAACTTTATTTCAAAAATAAGTTTTTTAAACCTAAATGTCGAAGTTAATAAAATTATAATAATAAAAAAAATTATAGCAAAAAATCACCATATATTTGACAAGCAATTATTTAAAAGCTAAAATGGTAGCCTCAGTTTAAATAGAAACTGCTTGGGGGGGGGGGGGTAAAATGGAGTTGATCGATACATTGACTCGAAAAAAATGTTATAGTTTATTGTTATTGGATTAATGAGTTTTAATGATTTATTAAAAAAAATTATCGAGTTATTGATTTGGTTTTGATTTTTTAATATTGAGTTATAGGGTAAACTAATAACTCGTTAAGATTGTAGTAGTTTACTACTTTACGCCTACATAAATATTAAATATTAATCTCACTACTTTACTAATTACTGCATTTGCCCTTTAGCCTTCAATTTTACACTTCAACTCTGAGTTCACAATTTCATATTATACGAAACATCAAAACCTAAAAGAAGAACTCTATTTCTCTTTGTGTTGCACTTGTATAGTGCTTTTCATGTTAGTAATTACTATATATATATATATATATATATATTATGAGAGTTATGTAAAGTTACATTATTATGTTGTCGCATTAAATTGTTGGAGAAGTCTTATATTTATTTTATACGGAGAAGGGCCTAAAATGCCCCTCAACTATTTGATTTGGTATAAAACTACCATCCATCCACCTTTCGGCCCCCAAATACCCTTGATGTCAACCTTTTGGTTAAAAAATAACCTTATGTCTGACGGATCATAGTCATAAGGTGGATGGAGGACAATATTGTACCAAATCTCATAGTTTAAGGGCACTTTAGGCCCTTTACCGTTAAAATAATTTGAAATTACTTAATATATAAGCTCACATGATTGATTTAATTTGGAATTTCATATTAAATTTAAAATAAAAAAAAGGTTAGACATCTACTCTCTACACTCCCCTCCCACACCCCTTCATTTCCTATCTCTTCAAAAAAATAAAAAAAATCTATTTGGATCTTGTCCACCATTTTAATTTATTTTTTTCAATCTACTATTTTTAAGTTTAGTAAGTATAATATTGGGACCATCTGATTGACATTTTGAAATTCTTACTCTTTGATCAATAGGTTCTCCAGACTCCAGTTACCACCTGAATTGGATAAGAGCTTTAACTTTTTCCTAATGATCACAAAAGGACATTTCTCATCAAATTAGTACACTCCAATAAAATGACTTTGACATGGTATTTAAAAAATAGATTTTTAAACTTTGTGTCTAATATAATTCTTACTATATATTTATATAGTTGGAAATCATTTTATTTTATTTTTATAAAAATGAGAATCTTAATTATTATTTTTTAATTATAGTAAAGATAAAATAAAAAAAATGTATCAAATGGGATGGAATAAGATAAGCATTTGAAGTAAAAATATTGATTAGTAATTTTCACATATTGTAGCTATCATCTAGTACAAACGAGTTGTTGCGGGAAGAGTTAATAGCAGTTAACAGCAGCATTAAACCCAACAGAGCAACACTGAACAATATCAGTGTGTTTCACCGGCGGTAAGTTTAGAGACGGCAGGATATTTGTTGTCCGTTTGTAAGCACCTAACCACTTGTTTTGCATGAAGCCCTGTTTTCTCCATGGAGGAATATGGAGCTCTTTGCTTCTCATCGATCGCCTAACAGCCTCGCTCATTACCTTCAATATCTGCTTTAATTCTTCACTTTTGCCTACAAAAACCTTCTGCAATGATTGCAACATGCGCTTGTAATGATTTGTAGGCCTTGCAATCTCGAACTCTGCTGCAAAATCAAGGTCGATGATGTAACGAGTAATCATTTGATTGGAGGAATCCGATCTAATTACATCAATGAATTCGTAATTTCCGCCCTTAACTGATCCACTTGAACTCTCCCATTTTGTCTTGCATATAGCGGAATTATAACCAAAATCCCTAAGATATTTCATTACATTTTGCTGGAGTATCGGCTTATTAGACTTTAGAAAGGAAAACAATTCCAAAGCCTTGGTAACCGTAGTCCACAGAGAATTCTGGAATAAATCCAAATCGATATTACAGAAGACCGGTATTGGCACATCTTCAATCACTTCTCTCGAATCGTACATTGATACTTGCGTGTGATCAAAATCTGAATCGTTCTCTGCAACACCATCCGGCAAACCAAAAACGAGAGCATCATCATCGGCGTGGTAACCAATTTGATCAGCTTGTTGGTCACGTCCAATGATCTGACCTTTCGTCTTATCGTCAAACGGGATAGTGACTCTCTTCATACTACGAAAAACTTGCATTTTTTTGTTCAAGTAAAAACTAAATCAATTAAGATAATATATATATAGGTTTAGAGAAACAATACTAGTAATAATAAAGGTATATGCTGCGGAGGAACTAAAAAAGGGAATATTCGAAGCAGAGTTAAAGAATGTGATCAATTATTCTTTGTATTGATTGGTGAGTATATAGTAAAAGAGAAGAGATGGAATGCCCTTTTACTTTTTATCTGTTTTTTTAAAAAGAAAAGTGAGTAACTAGTCACAGAAGATTATGAAGGGCATATCCACAAGATTATTCTTTATGTGGAGTGGTGTGATTGGGCCACGTAATATAGGAATGTGTTTGTAGTACTTTGACATGAGAATGGAACGTGGTGGTTAAATTAATTGAAGACTCATCGTATGTTAGATTTCGTTTAGAGTGTGTGTGTTGGGTGGGTCTTCTGTCTCTTTGGAATTCGAAAGACTGAATATACATACATAGCAATGAAATTTGATAATATTGAAAACAGGGGCGGACCCACGTTGAGGATATCGGGTGCTCGAGCATTGATTGACTCTTACGAAAATTTGTATATGTTCATTGAAAATATTGAAAAGTTGATATAATTAATTCTTGAGCACCCATTAATCTAAAGGTTTGATGGGCGCTTTGGTTCTCAGATGCAACGTAAAGCTTGCGCTGACAACCTCAAGTGTGAGGGTTCGAGTGCCACACTGCTATATGTTTTTTTTTTCTTCTACGCTAAAGGAAGTGAGCACCCATAACCAGTTGGGTTTAGAATTTTTTTTCCCCTTCCTATGTGGATAAATAAAAGTATTATTAGGACCAGCCCACTTTAGCCCATAACCCAAATATTATGTGGCATATATAAGGCTTATTTGGTCTTATTTTCAGAAACACAAGAGAGAAAAATCAAGAGAGTTTCGTTTTAGAGATGGAGAGAAAAAGAGAAAAATCTCATTTTTGCTTCTGGAAATTTTCTGCTCAGGCAGTCCGCTTCAGACAGAGTTTGCCGCTTCAGACAAAGTTTGCCGCTTCGTTAACCTTTGGATCATGCTCAAATTTGAACTGGGAGTTCTTAGAATCAGTTTATTGCAAGTCAACGGTGAAGATCGGATTTGAAGGTCTGTAGCTTCTGATTTGAGAGCGTGAACAGTAGCACGTTTTTGGGTGAAATCTCTTCTTTAATTCTCTAGTTTTGGTGCAATCTTGATTTGTTGTTGCTAGTTATTTGGCGCTTGTTTTGTGGCCAATTTTGGAGAACAATTTTGTAACTCTTGGTGTTTATAGTGAAGCTTTTGGTCCTGTGATTTTTTACTCTTCACATCGAAGGGTTTTCCACGTAAATCATTGTGTCTTGTGTGATTGACTTATTCTTATCTTGTTGCGTTAGTTTGGTTGATATACTTGCTGTCCATTCTTCATATTGCTTGATTTGGTTTCAAATCCTGGATCGGTCACTGATTGAAAACGTGTATTCACTTTTATAATTGAAACAAACTTTAATGGTGCTAGATTTAGAGGGTGTTTGGATTGACTTAAAAGATGATCAAACTTACTTTTAAGTCAGTTTTTTATTTTTGAAAGTGTTTGACAAATATAAAATAACTCAAAATAAGTAAAATATAACTTAAAATAAATTAGGAAGTGTTTGACGAGATTAAAAATAACTTAAAATAAGTTTAAAATGACTTAAAAATAAATTAAAAATCAAAAGTAGGTCTCCCTCAACATTTTATTTTTGATCTAAAAGTTATTTAAGTTTGACTTTTTATTTTTAAGTTCAAAACTACTTTTCTTTTAAGTCAATCAAAACGGGCTCCTAATTTACCCTACACAAGAACTAATTGTAGTTAAGATATGGATATCATCAATCCCAGTAACCGTTACCATAGCTTGGGTTCAGACACTAAATAAATTATAATTAAAAAAAAAAAGAGTACTCAATTGAAATTGCAATCGAGTATTGCTCTTGAAACTACAATTTTTCATTGAGCGATAAGTCCTATTGGCCACCTTTTCCATTCAATTTATTTGTAATACACAATATTGAGAATTTCCAGAGTCAACTGTACTAGGCATCGTAGAAATGAAATGGACATTGCTCCAAATCGCATGCCACAACAATGTAGTTTATGTAGAGAAACTAGAAATAAGAGGAATCGTTGTCCCCGTCGACCTCAATACTATTATTGTAAGCAAATAATAAAATTTACGGAAAAAGGGCCTAAAATACCCTCGAAATATTGAAAATGGTATAAAATTACCCTCCATCCACCCATTAGCTCCCAAATATTCCTGCCATACACCTATTGGCTCCCAAATACCCTTGTCATCCATCTTTGGGTCCAATATTGACCACTTTTATAACATATTATTATTTTAATATTTTTTTGAAGTACGTGGCGACCAAATATTGGATATATACAATTTAATTACTTAAATTAATTTTCAAACTCACTCATTATTAATTATACACGACCCAAATTACTCAGACCCTGTAACACCCCAGAAATATTTTCGAACTAAGAATCGAACCGTTCATCGTAGTGCGTGAGATTTTTCCAAGGAATTAAAAATTTCTTAAGTTTTAAGGTCACTAGATGTAGCACCTTGAGTTCCAAAAAGAATTAAATTGAAAATAGCAAAATCTGAAATTTTGCAAGTTAAGCTAAGTATGAGTTTTGGATCAACTTCAAAGGACCATAACTCCTAGCTCAGGATGAGTTAGGTGTGCTACCAGATACCATAGGAAATACCTTTGAATTATCTTTCCAACGCCGCCAAGTTTGCTAAGTTTCGAGTTTGGATGAGTGAGATATGACCTTTTGAAGTTAGGCCGCCCAGTTAAGGAAAGTTAGCCGGAAATAGTAAGGGGTATTTTGGTCTTTTCCTTACCCAATCAGATTTAATTCATTTTTAGTAATATTTTAAGGGTATAATCTGATTAGGTTCAGTTTTATAATCCTAGTTTACGCCTAGGGTTTTAGTTGAGAGTTCAAGAACAGAAAAGAAGAGAGAAGAGGAGAAAAGAGTAAAGGATGAAGGCGTTCGTCGACGTTCTTGAGAGTTATTGCGTATTGTCGCCATGGATTTGATCCCTAAGAAGTATGTAAGCTTCCATAGTGTTGGGTTCTTTCACCCACACACCAATCATGATTTATTCAGCGTAATTTCATTCTTGAAATTTAAAGATTAGAGTTCTTGATAAGTGTTCTTGAAGTTTCATTAAGTTTTGATGTAAGATTCTGCTTGGGTCAACTTTAAACGACCATATCTCTTAGAATATTAAGAGTTACGTGAACCATAACCTATCCAATTAAAGGTAATTGAATCTACTTTCCAACGCCACCAATTTCACGTCAATCCAATTTCTGAGTAGAAAGTTATGACTATTTTAGTAACCTATACAGTGCTGTTACGAATTAGCCGACGGGAAAATATTGA